GAGAGAGAGAGAGAGAGAGAGAGAGGGGGAACCAAAATGCGAGGAAGTATATAATAGGCCGATAGTATCCACCGAAGAGATTTTCGTGACTTTTGTGCGAAAGTAGCGAATAGTAATGAGAATCAACAGAGAGTTAAAGCTAGCGAAATTAAAACTAATTATATCTTCGAAATAAAATTGTATTATATTTTGCTACTAATTACCATCCTTCACTTGGCTCTGCCCTGGCTCTACATTTATTATTATTTGTCTCCAAGAAAAGCAGCACTTTCGTACGATTTTGCTTTTATCGACAAGGAACATTAAACGTTCACAATATTCCCCGCTTTTCTTCGCGCGAACGAAATTCCCATCGAAATAACCGGAAACAGGAAATATTGAAAATACCTGTCCAAAAATATCTTAATATCATAGATTTAACGCGACACCGGAGAAGACAGTCGCGCGACCATTTTTCCCTGGGAGCGACCAAGAAAAGGGAAAAGCGGAGAAACGGAAAGAAAAAAGGCGGATGAAAGGTTGCCGACAGTTTTTCAATTTCTCAACGCTGCTCCGACGCGACAATGTCCTCCGTTTTCTTCTTTTTCGAGTTGTCGGGAAGCTCCTCTGAATTTCCGCGAAACACACTCACGCGGAGCGGGGATTCCCTCGCCAACCCCCGATCCCTCTTTCTTCTCGTCTCTGTCGAATCAAAGATTCGCGTCCCAGACGTTTCCGAGACTACAATGACATTATGATCCGAGGCGCGAGAAGAAATATTTATGAAACTCGAGCGATATACCGGCACAAAGGGACAACGGTGCGGCGTCCGCATTCGTTTAAAATAAATCCTACCCCAGCCCCGGAGGATCGTAATCGCTTCACGTGAAATTATATTCCTTTAAAGTCCTCCACCAGGGACGCAAGATATCGGACAATTTTTACAACCGTTCGCGTGTTTTTGGCTTCGATTAAATTTCATTGAACATCAGACGCGAGGGAGACAGAATTAGATCACAAATACTCGAGCGATTTACCAGATTTGTAATCTACATATGTTTTTCGAGGAACAGCTGGAAAACCAGGAGCAAATTGCATTTCGTAAGATTAGATGTATTTTACGTCGTAAAGTTTATTTGTTTGTTTGCAAATAATTCAATTAAAAAAGTCTGGGCTTAACACTAGATTTACGGAACCCTTTAATTGGACAGATATTGAATATATTAACCCTTTGCGGGCGGGGCAGTTTTGAGTAAACCGTATCGTGGGGCCGAGCCGCTACCGCGATAGTCATTTAAAACTATCAGCGCATACTTCTGCTTAAAAGCGATTTTCATTCATAGTGCTCCAAGATGTCAAATTATAGACATATGTAGATATGTACATGCACAGATTTTTCAGAAGATAAATAAAATATTGGTACTATCAGTTGTGTGGTATTAATGGTATTTTAAATATGTTTTATTTTTAAAAAACACAGGAATAGATAATTGAATAAAATACAAATAAATAGAAACGATATAACTTGCAGTGTACAGGTCTTTTCTCTTCTCAAGTTAAAGCAACTCTCTCAAAATCTCTCACCATCCGCACTTAAAAACCATTCTCCCCCACAAGCATTCTTCTTACTCACACTTCCAACAAATTCTCAAACACACCCCACTCTCACCACCACGCACTCATCATCCTCGCTTACGCATCCTTTGGAAAAAACCCACCAACCCTGGGGCCTGGTCTCCATGAGTCCCTTTTCTCTTCTATGACCCTTAGAACACTCGCTGTCCCACTGTCTTAAACATACGATACTACAGTTGTTTTCGCCGAACGCATATATGCGGTGGTAGTCCGCAAAGGGTTAAATATTATTTCATGACAATTTAAGACGATTTTGATTGATACAATTATACGAAGTCCCATTATAATTATTTATCCTTGACACACTAATTTCCGCGATTTATATTGACAAGCACGTAATCTCCCAGGAACGATAGAATAAAGTGTAAAATAAAGTCTGTAAATCTAGTGTTAAATAAATGAATATGACTGTTAATACTCTATGAAATGTACTATGCTTAAAGATTAGATTTACGGACATTTATTACGCGGTTTATTCTATTGTTTTTAAGGAAATTAATATTCGTTCATTTATAGTTTGGAAATTAGAGGTTTAACAGTGGACAGTTAGGATACATATTTGCGTATCTGTATCAATCAAAATTAATCCAAATATTTATCAAATAATGTTTATGAAAATCAATATGTCTGAAATTGGCTCGTTCTGTAAATATAGTGTTAATATCGTGTTGTATCGGTTGCTGCGGAACGGATGTCCTGAGGAGGGTACTGTTTAATCTTAGAATCCTTCCTTGTCAGATAAAATAAAAGACGGCCAGCATTCGAGTTTCTCTTCGTTCAGATTTTTTTACAATTTTGTCTATGACGAAACATTATGTGCGAAAGAGAACGCAGTAGGTTACTCTATTAACCTTGGTTGAATTGTTTATTTCGTTGTTTGTGGTTTACGTGTCCGCGCGCGTTGCGAACGTTACACGACATCCGTTGGATAATTATGTCTGAATTGTGGATGCCGTGCACTTCCGCCGCACATGAATTTGTAAAATACAGAGAAATGAAATTTGCGGATAAGTGAAACTGTTTGTTCAGTTTCCAGCCTCCTGGGGTAATGTGCAATCAGTATAATTTGACATTATTTCGTGAAAAGCGAATTTCCGTTGCCTCTTAGGAATACAGCTTTGAGATATTCAGAATTTTTGCAATTCGGCATAAAAAATGTATGCTATTATATGATTATAAATTAATTGTATGATATAATTTTGTATGTTATTATAGGGAAAACAGCGATACGGTAAGCGAACTAAATTTAACTCGCTAACTTTGCTTGTTTCCGTTGCATTCAGACAAATTAATAAATCTGAATCTACAATCTGATACAGAATTCCTTACCTATTTGATTAAGAATGGCAGTAACAGTAAGATAATATAGAAATTCCGAATTTCTTTCATTTAAATACAGTATCCATAGACGAGAAACTGGATGCGCCAAATATTTGACAATAAATTGACTCACAGTGATACGTCAGCATCAAACAGATTAATAGTGAGTACTGGATTCATCCGACCATCTGCACAACTAATCATTACTACCTCATCGTTCATTACTACCGAACTACCCAACTGATGTTCAATAAACCAGAACTAGATGAAATTTGCAGGAAAACATTTCAACCACTACTTAAAATTTCAAATGTCAGCTTCAATATATTAAATGCAGAATGCTAAATGTTGACAAATGAAATCTTTTAATTTTAATCTTCCGAAGCACCATATCAATGTTTACCGAGAAATACAGCACTCGAAGCAGACATTTCAAATTCAATATTAATATAACTCCTTTCATAGTAAAAATAAAATTATAAAATTATAAAATTATAAAATTATAAAATTATAAAATTATAAAATTATAAATAACTATAACAACTATTTACACAGCTGTAAATAATCACAATACCTACAACTATAAATAAGTACAACACAGCTATAATTAAACAATAACTCACTACTTCAAATAATATACCTCAAAGCATCAAAACCAATCGTAAGATCTCCCCAACAGTTCTCTGCTTCAGTTCCGAAAGACGCACTTGTAGGGAGTCACTACCGTACTTTGCTACCCTTATTTATACCACTCATGGAAGCGACGCGAGCCAGTTTGAAAATCACTCATTAAGGTTGATGTCGCTGATAAGCCCGTTCTCTTGCCGCATTCCTTTTGAGCGTTGCGTCGTGCTGTGGCACGCGAAAGTTTAAGCGTTCGTCGTGACTCCTTCGCTTAGGGTTACGTCAACAGTTTCGAAATTCGCCGATAAATTTCTTATTGACGGTAACCGGCAGCTATTAGTTCAAAGAACGCTTACGCGCCAGTTCCCGGTCGGCTCGGTATCAGCATGTAAATTTTAAACGGAAAGTTCGCGTCACAGGTGCGCTGCGCCCGTCTCCCCTTATCTCGTCTCCCGATTAAGCTTCAGCGCGGGACGACCCGACTCGACCCGATCCAACTCAACTCGACCCGAGCCGGCCCAGCTCTACCTGGCTCTAAATTATCGATTCCGGAACTGCGTCGCAGATTCGTTAGCCCGGCCCGTGGCGAACATTTCCATCCCCATATCGCCTGCTACCCACCTCACCCTTTGGTCCGTTCCGGGTATATACACGTATCTCTTCGACATGTACAGAGTGATCCAATCAGAACTACCGTAGAAAATAAGATTGTGATTCAAAAAATTAAATTGCACGTCAATTTGATAAGAATATATTTTATACGAAATTAATTGTGTCCGAGAGATATCGTAGATTTGATTTTCATACTCCTGTATTTTCTGAGGTGTCAAAGAAATTTTCAATTAGCTCACTTAGCTTCGAATTATTTCGGGACTGTATGTTTCTTCTAATAAACGAACCGATCTAAATGTATCAGTCGTTGGAAAGGAAAATTAGAGAAATTATATTCTTAATTTAAATTTCTTCTCATTTTGATGTTATTAAAATGAATGTTTTAGAACTACTAGTTTATAACTAGTAACTAATTAATTTCTAATACTACAGACGGGTTTAGTAATACTGAATAAGTCTATTTGACAAATATTCTACGTGCCAAAACGAAAATCGAATATTTGTCATTTGCAACGATTTTCGCAAAGGGTTAAGATATGTATTGACAGATACACGTGCGACATGTACTCACGTTGTGCCGCCAGGAAACTTTGTAAACCCATGGATTCGACTTGATGTTGCACTCGAAGTAGACATCGATGCCCTCGCGGATTGCGCTCAGGTTCAAATTGCTGCCAAGCTCGAGTGTAACCACCGGCTGGTCTGAAAGTTCAACGGTTAGGTTAACAGGGTGGTCGTAAGAAATTTGCTCGCGATGTTTTGCCGTGGCTCGTTCGGGCCCACGCGACGACGATGACGACCACAGTCCGCGCCAACGCGCAGCAAGAAAGCGGAGAGTTATCGCGCGTAGAACGCCGGCTAGCTGTTATGCGGAAGTGATTTGTGCGAAGGGCGGAATTTCGGTGGATGCCGGGGGATGCGTGTTTCGAAGCGATTTTGCGCATTTCGGGGAGTGGGTTTCAGATAGCCGGTGGTGATTGATGTTTTAGCTTGAGATCAGGGGTAAGTGATTCTTGATAGGCGTATTACGGAGATTGATACGCGTACAGGGAACTATTAAGAGGAAAATGTGATATGGGTGTTCTATAACAAGAGAGTCCTTACAATTTTATATGAGAATTAACTATTAGGTCTATGCATATGAAACGCTGGATTTTGCGGAAGAAAGGAAACCTTATTTGATAATTTAAAAGATGTTTGTTTAATCAAAATATGCTTTATTGGATTCGATACACTTCTGCTAACGTGTTTTTAATGAATATAATATTAGAATAAATTCTAAAGACTTCGTTATAAACTACTGTTTTAGGTTTACCACACGGTGCACTTCACAAAGAAACATCACGAACTTGAATGCTTCATAACTTTTGAACCAATAGTCACTTCAAAAAAGTTTAAAGTTTTGAGTGTACAGAACAATGGCCTCAACAAATTATATCAAGATCAAGCTGATACGAAGGTTATTCTATTTGTAAATGTGTACGAAAGCTCTCCATTCTCGGACATATTTTTGCGAATATCTAGAAAACTAAGATCGAGCGGCGATAACATGTATAGGAAAAAGTTGTTCAGAATGATGACTTTGGCTACGTATTTCAAGGTCATCCAAATCGGTGAAAAATCCGTGTTACAAATAATTATCAAAGGACTATTTCGGAATTTTTAATAATTTGAAAAATCCGCGGAATTGAAAGTAAACAAATGTGAATGAAAACAATGCTGTATTCTTTTTATAAGAATTCAATTGAAAATAAAATAGAAGTAAGTAAATAGATTTATTAGTATAAAAGAAATAGGTTCATTAATACTTGTTTAATCGTGTTTGTTAAATGTTATAAAACACTACTGCAAAGAAAAAGAAAATAATTCTCCTTACTCGGCTGTAAATAAATGTCCAGTAATTTCCTAGCCAGCGCTTGTTTCGCGAACGTAGCAATAAGGGCGCAGTGTACACGATGAATCCAAGCGATTATATGTTTATAGAATAAACATCGTTTATGTAGTAAATAGCTGTGCCCCGATCCAGCGTTTTCAGCACAAACAAATTAAATTCCCACTTCCGCTGCCGAAACAATACTGCCAGCGCCGGCAACAACAAAATCAATTTTCCCCGGTTAATCCTCCTTGGCCAGTTCCCTTCGGCAATCTGCCTGGTATCAGAAAGCTAAACCGAGCTAGACCCAACGCTACCTGCTTAATCACACCGTGCCTAACCCTCTTCACACATTTCCATAGACACGTTCGCTTGAGAACACGTGTATGGTACCATGAACCTATAGAAAATATATAATCAAAGTTATTCCAGAAAAATGTCCATAAACCAGAATGACGAATCGAATAAATCAAACAGAAAGTGTTAGCTTAGCCTGCATTTCTCAAGTTTTAGTTTTCCAACATATCACTATGTCCAAACTGTAAACCTCAAAAGTCAAAAAGCAACGCGTCTTTAGAGACTTTATACAAATTTTTAAATCCTACATAATACGTTACAAAGGTAACAATATTTTAATATTAACATATAATATTATTACAACTATAAATAGTTAGCAACTATGAACCACGATTTCAATGAAAAAATCACCCGTCTCGCAACAATTAATTACATGAAAAAAATATTACGTTACAGAAGATTACCTAAAAAAATAGTGACTCATAATAATCCACAGGTGAATAGACCTTTCCCTAATCAACATTCCCAAATTCTTTACAAACTCCACGAACCTCAATCTCCCTTACAAAAATCAAAATTCACACAAAAGAATCCATTCGCCAAAGGTAATCGTCGTAGATAGGCATCCTGAATCACTGAAACATTATTTCAAAGGCAAAGGGAAGGTTACATCCGCCCGTCAGATACACAATTTCCCTCAGCGTCCGCGAGCAGAATACACTCATAAATCCCGTGACACCCAGCCCACGCGGAATCCATATAGCGAACCCGGTGTTACGCGGACTACCCTCCTTCCTGCCACGTTCGCCGGAGATTAACGCCGTGATCTCACTGTCCAATATAAAAACTTTCTCCCCTGAGCGGCTAGAAGAGAAAGGAGAAAGTGGATAGTCGAGCGAACGATCGGGAAACAAGAAAAAGAGGAGACCCGCGAATACCGGAGATCAGCTTCACCGAAATTAATGGTACACGCCGATCCGCGGCTAAAGATTCTCTCGTTTCCCCCTTTTCCGTTCGTCCACTCGTCTCTCTCTCCCCCCACCCCTTTCGTTTTTCTTTTCTTTCTGTCTTCCGCGCCCATTTACATCGCCCTC